CCAATTTCCCTTCGGGGATTAATAAAGTCTATTTATCTGTCTGTCTGTCTGTCTGTCGTATCTTAAATGAAACATGGAAGAAATTTAATGACATTTATTTTGAAACTTCACACCGGAACTCACGTGTGTTTGCTCAGCCCACTTGATGCTCGTGTTGAAAAAAAAAAAAAATCACACAGGAGGCGAGTGGGAGGAAGCCAAGTTGGAAACACCGCGGAGCGAAACTCCTCTTGTTGAACAGTGAAGTGGCCCGGCGGTCGGCGGCTCTGGACGCGGGCAGAAGGCGGCTACACAGACCGGCTTGTAATGAACCACTGCGGCCTGAATTCACACCAACCCTCCGGTCCGTAAACCACCTGGAAGTTTAAACTCCGCTTCAAACTTTCCGCGGGGCTTTCTCCTCAGTCTGAACTCGTTAAGTCGTTTAGTCTGGCCGGCCTGCGAAAACCCGAAGCGTCGGTCTCCTCCACACATGTCTTCTCGCTCCTGCTAGAAAAAAAAAACAAAACAACAAACCAGGTGAGCAGGCCGTGTGGTTTCCCCCGGGGACCTGCGCAGGTAACGGGGGTTAGTTTACCTGTACGCACAGCGGTGACGCACGGATCTCTCTCTCTCTTGACGCTCCCCTTTCTCGCCCCACGGCTCTCCCGCAGCCGCCGGAGAACAGAGCACCGGGGAGCCGCCGAGCACCAGGACGGTCATGGATCTACCCGGAGAGAGCGAGAGCCGGCGCAGGGAAGGCAGGAGGACCCCCGCGGTGACTAACAGGAGAAACCGACCGGCGGACACGATGTACGCCGTCGGTATTATCTGCCTCCAAGGTTGGTAACAAGCTACTTTATTTCATACACACAGCGCGCATACATTTTATTCATCTTTATTAATATAGATGCTGTAAAAACAAGAAGAAATTCTAGTTGAAGACGCTCATTGATGCGGACCCCCCCTCCCCGACATTGACCTCCACGCTTTTTACTGGAGGATTTGTTGTTTCTGGTTCAACTTAGTTCATTGGGCTGCATGCCTGAGAGAAACATACCACTGAGGAGGGAAAGTCATGGCTACAGCTGCTTTTCCCATTCACTCCTTCAGAGAAACACCTTCTGTTTAGTTAAACATTTAAAGAGTTTAAACCACATTTTGGTTGAGGGGGTCAATGGGGGAAAGGGGCACCCCTCCCCCATTGACCCCAGTTTAATTTGAGGGAGGGGGGGGGGACAACTGCAGTTCTGTAAGAAGATCCAGGCTTCTGATTAGAATTTAAAAGAGATGTGCTCTGTTTGAGTCAATACAAACAACTGCTTGCATATTACACTGTAATTAAATATCTCATCTGGAGCAGGGGAATGGGATGATGATGATGATGATGATGATGGTTTCCAGCTATCACTGGAGGCAGCCTTGCCATGTCATTATGTATTCCCATGAGTGTACTTCCAATCCTCACACAACACATTGGATACGCCATTTCTGATTATCATATTCATAACTCTGTTTGCATGTTTGAACTCTGTCTCTCTCTCTCTCTCTCTCTCTCTCTCTGAGCCCCAGCCTGGCAAGCTTTTTATGGTCCCCATTCATATGCATGGGGTGGAGAGCGGTTCGGACTGTTATCCAAAAGAGAGGAGCTAGAAAAATACAAAACAAAACCAAAAAAAAAAACCCCTAACGCGATGCAACGCCCTCCCACATTGTTGAAGGTGTAAAGTTCACAACCTCAGCTGCACACCGAGAAGAAAGCCATGAAAAAGAGCCGTCCTGGGCTGTGCAAGGAATGCTCTTATCCTGCCAAGGGATCGGGCTCATTAACTCACCGCTCATCATGTCAAAACCGAGTCAGTTTTATCTGATCTCCACATGTAGACTGAGACGCAGACGAGCACAGATTGTGTTGTGCCTGCGCCGTCAACACAGCGGCGATAGTGAAGAGTGGCTGAAAAATTCCTTTAAGTTGAAGTGTGCGTCGCCCCCCTCCAGTCTCCTCATGGTGCCCACTTTGGGATGAATGTGTCCTCTGTGCGCAGGCAGCAGGGGAGACGGAGGCTGCTATGGGTTTGTGTTTATAAGATCCATGAATAGAGCCAAGCCAGGTACTGTCATGACAGCCTGGCGTTGTAGCCCGCTTTAGAAATGTCCTATTTATAAAAGGGCTTTCTGAATGTGTCAAAAAAAACACAAAAAAAAAGCACTGCGGAGGCCAGGAATGAGTTTTTATAGTGGTTTTATTCCCACATGAAGCTGTCTGCACCGAACACACCATGTTTTCTGGAGGGTTGTCTGATCTGCAGGATCTGGACCCTACTCAAATATTTACCCAGCTTTTTTTAGTTTTAATTTACAGTACTGCTCTTGTTTTGCCGTTTCACTCTTTGCTTTTCTGTATCTTGATCTGGTTTCTGTTTGTAGCTGACCAGCGCCGCGCTCCCGACGTAGCTCTCAGAGTAGATGAAAGCCACTTATGGAGTTAATGTCCATAATGTTAATGCAGCATCTCTCCCCTCCTGTCCGCCTACCTATCGCTTTCAACCGTCCTCCTCTTCTTTGTGGTGTGTTTTTTCATTCCCTCTGCTTCATCAAGGCAATTTCATTCCTTCTAGTATTTATGTGAAGATAAAGGAAATGACTAGGCTTATTGCAGAGGAGCTGAGATAGATGTGAAATGTTTAAGTAACATCCCCACACACACACCCGTCTCTTCTCAGACCCCCCCCCCCNNCCCCCCCTTTGATCTCTCTCTCACTCATGGTGCAGCTGGAGAGGATCTGCATTTCAGGTCTTCTGGCGCATTAATAATTTGGATGCCTGTGCAAAAAAAATAAAACCTCATGATGGTTTAGAGGTATGCAATCAAATGTCTTGATGGAATTCACCAGTAAGCCCAGACTTTACTGACTTTGTGTATCTCCTCTCTGGCTTCCAGAACCGGCTGTAGAACCAGATACTGTGGTTAAACTGCAGAGTAGCAAACCGCAGGTAAATTGGGTTTGTGTAATGGATTTGTTGTTCGGTCACCTGTTGGATAATGTTTTGCCCAGAAGGAAACACAGGAAGTCAGTACTGTTCATAGGCTCTCCTGTATTCAGGAATCGACCAGCGTTTTACTAAGTGGCAGGTCCGCTGCTCTTAAGAGAAAGTCCATGAAGCTAATCTGCAGCATTTGTACGGTCTTCGGGTCGGGGTCTGAAGAGCGGCTCTGAGCGGATCCCACGAGGGCTTTTTTGGGGCTGTTTCGTCGGCGTATCCACCTACTGTTGCTCTATTTTAAAATCCATACGCATGGTTCTTATTAACTGTGCCCCTAGGCTGTTTGGGTGCACACTGTTCCTGATTCTCTAAAAATACCCAGATTCAGAGGGGATGAAAGGATGATGCCTAAATAAACACAGGAACATGTTGTGTGGAGGGTAGTTTGTCCGTTTGCCATCAGGTATATACAGCGGTTTACAATCCTGTGGCCAACAACAATCAAAATTCAATTGTAACGTTGGAATTTATTTGAACACATTTGAGTTCAGCATGAGCATGTTGATGCAGAAAACTGCTGTAACCTTATTCATACATCATATAGTTGTATCATCCTAAGAGAGAGTTATAAGGAAAATGGATGATTTTTCATCTCGATTCTGATATTGTGTTTGTTTTACTGCAGAGCTACAGGGGTTGGATATTATATGAACATCTGTGTAAATCATTCCAACATCTAATGCAATCTTCTACAGCCGTGCAACATGCTATATGTTTTATCCTGCTTTGTTAAGCTTCTAATGTTTCATTCTTGTTAATGCAGAGTAAGGCAGTGATACGTGGCTTTAGTATTTTTGAATTTAGCTTGTGTAAGCGTTAGCCCACAATTCAGTATTACCCGCCACTGAATTTAAGTCCTATCGTGATATGATCGTATTATGTGGTTGATTTAACAAGTTTCTGTTGTTAAAATAAATAATTCTAGCAAGTTGTAATCTAATGTGGCCATTGAAGGTTTTGTTTACATATGAAAGCTGTTGCAGGAAATGTATTTGTCTTTTTACAACACAAGGTTGTACAACGAAATGCAAGTTTGCAGTCCCTTCATGTTGCACACATAGAAAAACATAATTATATTAGAAGAACATATAGAATAGAATACAACATAAAAAATAAAACCATACATATATTTATTTATAAACATACTATATGCATGTGTACACAGAGGGAATCTTTTTAATTCGCATCTGGGGGAATGTAAACAGCATCAACAAAATGGTGATGAAAATATGGTTCCGTATTCAATTTCACATACACATTTAATGTGTGCATTAGCGTTTTTGAGGCCAGTACAATATACGATACAGATACTGATTCTGGAAAATATTATTATTGTGATATTGATTTTTAACAACCTCACTCAGCCCAGAGTCTTATAGGATTGATTTACATTATAAATCATTTGGTTTCCTTCTGTATGTAGAGATACTCTGACAAACAAGATGGACGAAGCCCCGTAGAGCAGCAGTGAAAGAAAATGGGGTCCATGTCAAAAATGTCTCAAGCAACGTTTTAAACTCTACCGACCTTTACTGTACGAGGCCAACATGTTGGTCATTATTCTAATTTTCCGGGGCTGTTTCAAAGATAGCCAAAGCTAGCTGAGCGTGACAACAAAACAAAGCACCGAGCAGAAAAAAGCCCGATGAATAGACTTGAATAATAAGATCTGGTTCCCAGTGTGTTTGACTGGTAGCACGGGTTGTGAGACTGGGGGAGGATTTCTCAAGGTCTTCCATGGCTCTTGTTTCTGGTCATTTATCAGACAATGTTTATTCAGGTTTAGGTGCAGCCTTTTGAACTCGAGAGTTCTCTTTTTCACCCAGTCGGTATGTGCAGTTTGCACTCACTCCATTAAAGAGGGCTCTTCTCCTGTGGGAGGATCTTCTTGCACTCTCTCAAAGGTTACAATCATGGCTACCCAATATCTCTGATTTGGGATCCTTGTCAGTTCTCAATCGATGCGCCCTAGTCTCCATGGTTCTCTGTCCTCCAGACCATGACCAAATTGATATAGGTCTACCATCTTTAACAACAGTGAGGCTGGTGTGTGATTTCTGTAGGAGTAAATGATGGTGTGATGATGCATGCCTGGCCAAATTGTCATAAATCTACTTAATGGGTCCTCAAATTGCAATCAAAAGCGAGCTTTGACCGAGCAAAGTTGTCCCATTTGGCCGATACCATGATGCCGATGCCTTCACCTACACCTCGTATATTTTCTTTGATGTTAAAAAGGGTAGTTCAGGAGCAGAGAAGAAACGGAGGGAAGCGAGGTTTCATAAAATTGGGATTGAAAAGATTCATTCTTCTTTCTGGCTCGGATTGTCCTCACTAGGCTTTTCTTATGATTCAGATAAATTGGTGGTGCATTTCTAAAAAGTGTCGATTGGATTCATTTTGAAGTTATGGATCAATGGTTGCCAGACAACAATCCCATCAGCCCGTGGGAGGGATTTATAGAGGATAGATATGATAGATAAGATGACCTACCTTCTAATATTTTCCGAGCTGTGAGATTGAATGTTTGGTGCGTAGGAAGCGTACCCGCTGGTTTGTGTAGGATCACACAATCTCCCTGATGGTCTTTGGTCGGACCAGAAAATGACCACAGTTCATAATAATGACCCCTGGTCTCTGTGGCCCCTGTTGGTACCTGGTCATCAATAAAGCCAAATAAACAGGACGGAGGATGATTACTGCACCTAATGACCCATGGGCTTGGGCTGCTGCGTGTATGTGTGCATGATAGAGTGCATGTGCGTTGGCTCATGTGTTTGCGGTTTCGCTGGCTCTG